TTGCTTTAATATTGTGATGATACTGCTTAAAAATCTGTATTTAAGTCACATTTACTTAATGGAACGAGGTAGTTTATCTGCAAATAAATGGCATCTGCTGGCACCGGCCACTACGCACCCACTCCGGTGGCAGTCTCTGCCAGCACCGGCCACCATCGGCCACTACGCAGCCACTCCGGTGGCCGATGGTGGCCGGTGCCGGCAGAGACTGCCACCGGAGTGGCTGCGTAGTGGCCGATGGTGGCCGGTGCTGGCGGAGACTGCCACCGGAGTGGGTGCGTAGTGGCCGGTGCCAGCAGATGCCATTTATTTGCAGATAAACTACTTCGTTACATTAAGTAAATGTGACTTAAATACAGATTTTTAAGCAGTATCATCACAATATTAAAGCAACAATCTACTTAGAGGTACTTTGCTTAAAAACGGCTTCTGTAGCAACCAAAAAAGTGTCAGTAAACGTGGAGCTGATGTAGCAGACTCTCAGTCTAGTGGCTGCTGCCAGTAACACGCTGTGCTAGCCAGTACTAAAGCCGTGTCAGGCCAACAATACACTGGAACTGTCACAACGAGCCAACGGAACTGTCACAATGAGCCACCGGAACTGTCACAACTTTGCCACTGTCACGAATTGAGCTTGCTGTCTCTCCATTCCTGTGACTTAAGTGAAACAAATGTTTATTCAAAAATATAAATCATTCCACATGATCCATAAATAAATATCATCTGAAAATTCAAATTACCTTCTCGTTTAAAACATTTGTCACAAATCATTCAGGAGTATGGCTTTTCACCTGTGTGAATGCCCATGTGTCTACTCAATTGACTTTTGGATTCTTATCAATGAATTTGGCGGTGATATTTGAGTTTAGACTTAGAGTTGAATCTTTTTCCACAAGACAGACATTCAAGGCTTCTCACCTGTGTGAATTCTCATGTGAGTAGTTAAATTACTTTTTACAGTAAAATTCTTGTTACAAATTGTACAGGAAAAAGGTTTCTCACCTGTGTGAATTCTGATGTGAGTAGTCAAATGACTTCTCCCCTGTGTGAATTCTGGTGTGTTTATTAAGATCAGATGTCTTAGTGAATCTTTTTCCACAAGACAGACATTCAAAAGGCTTCTCACCCGTGTGAATTCTCATGTGTCTAGTCAAATGACTTCTTTTAGTAACACCTTTGCCACAAATCGTGCAGGAAAATGGCTTCTCCCCGGTGTGAATTCCGGTGTGTTTATTAAGATCAGATGTCTGAGTGAATCTTTTTCCACAAGACAGACATTGTGATTCTATAGTTAAATTCTATTCCCAGCCCGCTGGGAAT